CCCATTGTGCCTTATTGCTGGTGGATATCACCTTATTGCCACAATCTCCAAGGCTCAAGGGTGCATAAAACCCCAGGCCATGAGGACTGAGGCAGCCATGATTCCCAGGGGAAACCTCCAGACACAGGGTTGCAGCAGCCATAATCTCCAGGGCAGAACAGAGACAAACCCCTGGGCCCTGAGGAGAGAAGCAGCCACAATCCCTTAGGTCTGGGATTCATGTGCCCCTGAGCCCTGGAGATCACAGCTGGCCTAATCCTCAGGGCCCAGGAGTTTCACACTGGGCATGGTGCACCTTGGCAGCTGGGAGCCTTGTCAACTGATGGGGCTCCCAGCTGCAGGGGAGCCCCTACTACACCTGCAAATTAAAGCTCAATAGCAACCAGCTATAAAGCTAGTACATATTTTTGAGGTCTACCTTTAAAGCTGGTTGGAGCTTTTTATCATGTGATAAGTACTTTGCACAAGTAGCTGGTCTTAAGGTACTTAAGGTACAATTAACCAATTAATTGTGCAATACCTGTAATGTGTAGAGGGGGCCTGACAGTTACCAACAAAGCATCTCAGGGCACCTTGGAGAACTAGAAACTCCATCTGCTTGCTCAGACTGTTTTAATTAATAGTGTTTCACAAAATAATAAAACTCCCAGTATGTAGCTGACATTTGGTAGGAATTCCAAGATACCAGACACTGGATGAGAGGCTACTAGATACTTATTGTTTGTTATGGTTCCTTCTTTAAGTTTAAAGAGGGAGAAAGGAAAAGATATGAGAGAGAGAGAAGGAGTCAGAGCCAGAGCCAGAGAAGGGAATGAAGAGATCTAAGAGGAGACAGAAGAGCTCTACTGCCTGAGGTTCTGCTGGTCCTCCAGACTTCAGCTGGAGTAGTGGGTACTCAGCACTTCTGAGAATCAAGCCCTAAATGTCCTGCCAGCTGCAGTCTTATGGTGCCATTGCAATTTGCAGGATGCCATGGTCTGCTTTTATGTTAGCTGAAGGTGACAATTGGGTGACAGGCTGGATCACACATGCTGATCACATGCTGATCACTTCTCCACTTTCCATGGGCACTTTACAGTGAACAATGCTGATCTCCTGCAACTCAGTGCTCTATGTATGGCTGAGATTGCTTCCCAAGTGATAGATTCTTATTCCCTAGGTCTCCTGTGTGCAAGTTTCCTCTTTGCCACTTGGGCATTGATCACACATAGCAGTAGCTGCCACTAGAACTAATCATTTTTCATTACTTGCAGCCCCTAGAATCCATAGCTCTGCTTCTAATTAAAGCATATGTCTGAGCTCCTATGCATAGTGATGTGAGCACTGCAGTGCAGAGGGGAGGCAAGGCGAATGTGGGGCCATGTCTGATAACTGTGGCGACTGTGTACCTGGTTTCCAGGGGCCTTTCTTGACCTCTCATTCCTTAATCTGGGAGCACTGCAGAAGCAGAAAAATCAGGCTATGAGATGGAGGAGGAGAAAGGAGCTCCATATCCCTCTCAATGACATCTCCTGCAACTACTGTAAAAGACACAAAAGGCCAAACCTCACAAGCTGGTGTCACTGGGGATGTGAAGCAGGATAAACACCTCCTGTAAGGTGCTAGGGATCAGATGCCAGTGGCAGAGCAGTTTGAAGTTGAACTTTTTGAGATTCAGGAGTTGTGAAAGAGGAGGTGAAGGCTCCACTGAAGTTCTTGGCAAAACTGGCATTGATTTCAATGGGACAGAATACCCTCCGGAGATCAGCAAAGGGGAGCAACCAGCCAAAAGACAATAAGCTGGGGGGAAGCCTGTCTGAGGTAATTCAAGGCACAAGGCTGTGTCTACATGTGAGACTGACTGCGCAGTAACCCGATACTACTGCGTGGTAGCATCCCGTGGCAATAACCGTGATCCAACGCTACTGTGCAGTAGTATTAGGCTACTGTGCAGTAGTGTCACAAAAATGGTGTTCACTGGCACTACTGTGCAGTAACTCGGGTTACTGCACATTTATTAGTACTTGTTTATAAATACTAAATAAATGCACAGTAACACCTGCACAGTAGCATCTTGTGTAGACACTGTCAAGGAGACAAAACGTGCCTTGTGAGGGGCCTGTGCTGTAAATCTGTCCTTCTCTTCCTCCTAGTTTTAGCCCCCCTCAGAGATAAATCCTTGATACTCTTGACAGCACTTAGCCTTGCTGGTGATCATAGGCAATCTACTTACCCTCTGTTTTCCAATATATAAAGTTAAATCATCACCCTCAGAGGCCAAATGGACTTTCTGTAGGTGTGTAAGTGCTGCCCTGAATGGGAGTCAGCGAGAAGGGTGAATTCATTTATATCTGTCAAGCATCTTGAGACACTAGTGAAAATATTCATATCTACTCTCAATATAACAACACATTAGTTTTAATCATTGCTTTCCTTGATTTTCTTCAAGATCCATCCCTGTGTATGCTGCCAACATGACATCCATTCCATTATACATTTTGCTTTATTTTTTTTAATAACCACTAATTCTTACACGGAGTAGTATATATTAGTTGAGTTATGGTACATAAATGAATATATGTAATATGCACGGGGTAAATTTGATGGGATGTCTAACTATTTTCAACATGTTCCCTTCACTGCTCAGGCTATGCCATAGCTTCAGTTTAGTACAGGGAAATGAGCCTTCTAAGTATTACCATAACACTGAATCTATGAGTGAAAGCAAAGATCCAGGATCTCTACCCCTGAAAATACAAGCTTAATTTGTGAGGATCACATGTACTAGCCTCAGCTGTAGCAGACCTGTCAGCCTTTACCTGTGGCCCAGCCATAAGCAGAATAGGAGGGAATGCCATATGACATGGGTCACCTGAGGATGATGGCTGCAGCTGATCTCTAGCACAACTTGACGTGCTGCTCACAGTAGTTATCCCAAACTGTATGGCTCTTTAGGGGGCTCCTTTGCACAGCACTGGCAGCAACAAGGAGGGGTGATTTTTTCTCTGCCTATATGCGGCTGGGTTGAGTGCTCTTGGGTAGATCAGGGCCAGACCCTGGGAAGTGCTGAACACCTGCATCACCCTGCCCAGAAGATATGTTAATTCTTGCCTCTCAGCAGGTGGCTTCAGGTCTGATCCTACAAGACCATTCTACCACCTTGCAAGGCTTTCTCTTGGCTTCAGCTGAACTAGTTATATGCATAAGGGCTACTTATTTGGGGAGGCTGGGATCCTGTTTCCTTCAGAGTCAATGACAAAACTCTCATGATTTCAATGGGGCTCCCAGCAAATTTTCTCCCTGGTTCCTACATGCTGGGCTGTATCATGCTACGCAACCAGCAGCATCTTTCTTCCACCCTGCTTCAAAGCCTGCAGGGGTTTGCACCACTTGGTTTTCCCATATGTAAAAGGGGGATCTGACCAGCTGGAAGGAGAGTAGCTGTGACCAAGGCCTCAAAAGTTTGGGAAGGAAAAATAGGTGAGTGAACAACAGACCTTTATCTGACACATGGTGGAATTGGAACCAGCACTTATCCCCTTCCTGAGGCAAGACACTGACCTTGCTTACAAAGTGCTGAGAAGCAGTGCCCCTTCCAGAATTTTGTGCATATCACTTTGGTCTTTATAACAATAATGTTTCATATTTTAAATGGTTGCACACAATTGAATAAATGACAGATCCTTTTGTCTAGCTGCAGTTCTGACATCCCAGAGCCTGAGAAAGGCTGCTGAGTGGTTGACAAAATGCAAATTGAGTTTCATTCTAAAGAAGATATAAAGAGGCAGTTGCAAAATTCTGTGAATCTGTTCCACACAAACGTTCTCACTTGACCACTTGCATGTGCAAAATAGAGAAGCCATTATGCTGCAGTTCCCAATCCTGCACAAGTACTGGTTGTTGCAGGGGCAAGCACATTTTGAACCCACTGGTGCCTTTAAAAATGGGGGTCTCTAAAATTGATTCTAAATTCATCAAGTAAATATTTTTTTTCCAAGTAGAATTAAAAATAAAAACCCTTCCCTAAAAGGACTTGTGTAATCTGGAAAGAGTCAGTCTCACAAGACTCATCTGCATTAATGCAGGATGAGATGGAAGCAGTTAAATTTTTGCTGGGTGATACTTTGACTACGGCATGCTAGTTAATAATGGAATTATCCCTAATTTGTCCATCTCTGCTCAAGAGATTTCTCAGCCCAGTAAGCCGTGAGGAGAGTCTGGTTCTCCCATGTGTTACTGCTACAGAAACACTGGTCATGTAGGGTACGTCTACACCATAGCAGCAATATGTCCTGGCTGGAATCCCCACTCCTTCCTGAGCGTGCACACGCACACTCACTATGGGGTAGACATAGTCTGAAGGTCTGTTCTAACTGTACAAAGCGGGAGTTTTCCCACTGACTTCGATGAAAGCTGGATCAAACCTCAATCCCAGTCATGTGCCACAACTGGTGCTATGACACCCTGTGGAAAGCACTACAGCCAGGGTACCATATACTCAGCTGTTCATACAGGACATCAAATACTCACTTGGCAGAAGCAGGCAGCAGACACAATGCATTGGAAGGGTGGAGAGGAGCTGCACTCAATTCATTTCCTCTACCTCATCCATGACTGACAGCACTGAGAGAGTCTCCTGCCGAGAGAGTCAAACCTGTATGGTAACTGGAATAAGCATGGGCTGGCCTGTCTAATCCATCTCTCTCATCACAGTGAGGCAGGTTATAAAAGATAAGCAGAAATATAGAGGAATAAGAAGCATGGCTGTACTTGTGTACCACCGACCCTTTCCCTGTGCAGCTCAGCAGCTCTGCCCTGCTCCTGCGAATGGCTGAAGAGCGGGGACCGTGGGATGTTTCCATGAGCTTGGAATGTGTAGCTAAGCATTCACACTCCCCAGCAATGCCTCGTTGTTTGTACAGGATGTTCATTACAGCAGGGATCTAAAAGGGCAAATGCTGCTCAGGCAGTACAAAATTATATTGTTTGCTCACTTCCTTTGTTACTTGCCCTGTGTGCAGATGGAGAGATTACTTCCAAGCCGATGGTGCTCTTCTTGGGACCGTGGAGCGTTGGCAAATCCACCATGATAAACTACCTCCTAGGCCTGGATGACACACCCTACCAGCTCTACACAGGTAGCACGTGCTCTGGCTCTTCCATTGTTATGCTGTGCAAAGGTACAAGCTGGTGCTTGCCATTTCTAAGTCCATGTATTCATTCAGTCACAGTCAGAACATCATTTGTAAATCTACCTCCCGGCTGTTCTCAGCCCCATTCTCATAAATCTCCATTTTTACTAATTACAACCTTTCAGGTTCTCATGACAGCTATGATGCTGGACAAACAGGTCCCGAGTCATTCTCTCTGGAGTCAGGAAACCTGCTCCTGTAACTGTGAGAGGCAGCTTCAGGGAGAGAAGTGGGTTTCCTTGTTCTTCTCCTGCCTGGAGACTGACAGCACAACCTCCTCATAACTCTCAGAGGCTCCCACCAGGGAGTAAGCAGTACATCTGCCTCTTCAGCAGTCTCACTTCCCACAGCCCAGAGGACCATGGCTGAGATCCTCCAGCCCAGGAAGTGCTGCACTGCAGGCAGCCTACCAACCAGCAACAGAACCATCATATCATGAGGGGAACTTGCCTTTTTTCTTCTCTCCTTTCCTTCCTTGTATGGAGCCAATTAATTTGCTTTAACAACTGGAATGACATTTCCCAGGCCTTCTTAATAACTCCCTTTGATCCCTAATCACAGCTACATATAGACCATTGGAATTAAGCTCTGTACTGAGATCTCTGAACTGGGATAATCAAGGTATGGAAGCAAAGCAGGATTTGGGTCTCTGTCATGCCTTTTACAATTAAGGCATCTCAACCCTGACTCTGCCCTGCAGATAATATTTCCTACACTCATGCAGCATACCATTGCATGATGCTGACACCACCTGGTAATCACTGATGCTTGGATCCTCTGCTTTATATTCATGATTAAGATGTATCTTCCACAGGGAGTCTCAGCCAGAGGGTGTGTCCAAATCTAACCTGTTGCTTAGACTTTGCAACACAGCCTGAGTTTTGCTTTTCTCCTTTCTGGACAGGAGCAGAACCCACTACCTCTGAGTTCACTGTCATCATGCATGGCCCAAAGCTGAAGACCATTGAGGGTATTGTGATGGCTGCTGACAGTGCACGCTCCTTCTCACCTCTCGAAAAGTTTGGGCAGAACTTCTTGGAGAAGTTGATCGGGATAGAAGTGCCTCATAAACTTCTGGAGCGGGTCACCTTTGTGGATACACCAGGCATCATTGAAAACCGCAAGCAACAGGAACGAGGTAGTGATTTGCTCTGTTCATTTTAAGGAGCATTAAAAGAGGAGTGGCAATATTTTTGCAGGATGATAACAAAAATCCAATGAAGAGGATTTATGGTTAATAACAAAGGCTTAGTTTTACATTTCAGGGGCATCAAAAGTGTGCCTACTTGAGGTTATTATAGTAGCAAAGCAGAGGCCTAAGAGACATGTCCAGTATTTAGAGTAGATGCAGAAGCTTTCATCTTTAGTTTGGAGGTACAATATTTACACATTTAAGCAGGATGGGGGTGATTAGTGTCTCATGGGCTATTTATTCATGAACCGCAGATTCCCCATCTTTTTTAAAATCATATTCTTGTTAGTCTGGGGCAGATCTCTGCCAAAGCCAGTGTGCTAAAGAATACAATAGAATAAATTCCACCAGAATATTAGTATTACAGCAGTTATCTATCTGACATCTGGGGCAGAATCCTGAGGTTTTCATCCCATAGACTAAGTATCTTAGTCAGCAGTGATGGGGTCAACCATAGCTTTAGAAATCAATTAGAACATGGAGAATTAGTACAGGCAACAAGGAAAAAAGGCAGGTTTGGAAGGGGATGGGCAGGAGTGTAATTCCAGATGGGCCAACAGTACAAGTGGAAAAATACACACTTCTCCAGCAATTAGGCCTCAGAGATGAAAATCAGAAGAAAAAAATATTTAAAATATTTGGATCATCTTCAATTATTACAGTATATTATTGAAATATAATATTATTATGTTATTGGTATTATCTTCTCTAAATATATCAGAGCATTGATTAACAAAGTAAATGGCATCTCTACACCCTTCCTTCCATTTTCTGGCTTAAGCCTAGGAGTGATATCTTGGTTCCTTTTAATGAAGTAGCAAAACTCTCATTGACTTTACTGGGGTCAGAATGAAACACAGGCAGCATTACCAATTGAGTATGCATTAATAGGGGGATTCATGACAAGGGTTTTACCCAGTTTTACTATCTAAGAAATCCAAGGCTTCCCACTGCACAATACAGGTCTGAGTCTGATAGCGCATGAGACACTGTGGGTTTGTGTCTTGTCTCTCTTATGAGATGAATCAAGTGTTCCTGTGTCAGATATGGAAGTCAGGCCATTTCTGTTGGATTTTTTTCTCTCCTCTCCCAAAGGTTACCCATTCAATGATGTGTGCCAGTGGTTCATTGACAGAGCTGACCTTATCTTTGTCGTCTTTGACCCTACCAAGCTGGATGTGGGCCTGGAGCTGGAGATGCTGTTTCGACAATTGAAGGGTCGTGAGTCTCAGATCAGAATCATCTTGAACAAAGCTGACAGCCTAGTCACTCAGGAGCTCATGAGAGTCTACGGAGCTTTGTTTTGGAGCCTGGCTCCTCTGATCAATGTCACCGAACCTCCCAGGGTCTATGTCAGTTCATTCTGGCCCCTGGAATACCAGCCAGACACCCACCAGGATCTGTTCCTTAAGGAAGAGATTTCACTCCTGGAAGACCTTAATCAGGTGATTGAGAACAGGTTGGAGAATAAGATTGCCTTCATCCGCCAACATGCCATCAGGGTTCGTATCCATGCCCTTTTGGTAGACCGCTATTTGCAAACCTACAAGGACAAAATGACCTTCTTTAGTGATGGGGAGTTGGTATTCAAGGACATTGTGGAAGATCCTGACAAGTTCTACATCTTCAAGTCCATTCTGGCAAAGACCAATGTCAGCAAGTTTGACCTGCCCAACCGTGAGGCCTATAAGGACTTTTTTGGAATCAATCCCATCACTAGCTTCAAGCTGCTCTCATCACAGTGTTCCTACATTGGAGGATGTTTCTTGGAGAAGATTGAAAAGGCCATTACGAATGAGCTTCCTGATCTCTTGGGAAGTATTGGCTTGGGAAAAAAGCCCAGCATTCTCTCCTGTGACACAACTGGCTGTGGCGAAACTCCAAAGAACCGTTATAGAAAACCATAACACGGTGTGTAATGTAATAATTCATGTGCTCCTATTGGTGAATCAGCTTATGTCTTATCTGTCCAAAAAATCCATGGTTTATTAACCCTTTGAGTGCCACACTGGCAAGACCTACTGTACAATGAGGACTTTGAGTCATTGACATCAATGGCAGGGGGGAGTTGGGTGGGCATAGGAAAGAGAATAAAAACTGTGAATTCCTGATATTTTATCTTTGTTATTTCAAACAGAAGGCAACGTGCAAGCTGTAAGTAAAAGCAAATGAATGGTGATCTAGAGTTGTAGCTGCTTTTTCACTGGTACAGAAGCTCACAAGTATGGAACAAGCAGTTCAACCTTTGTATTCACTATAAAAGACAGGGAGTGAGAAATAGGGATTCAGGCATGAGAGCAGGGTGGACATGATAATTTGGAGAATCAGAGAGGGACACCATTGGGGAAGGAGACTCAGGTGAGAAGTAAATATTGGGCTGTGGTTTTATAAATCCCTGTAGATTTATAGAATCTGTGTTTTCTTTCCCAGACTTGTAGGCCATCAGGTTCAGTGCTTTAATGCACTATACTTGGATAACATCTGACCTCTAACTGAGAGTTTTAGCATTCATGCAGATATTAGCCCACTCTGTCCCAGGACCACAGGTTCGGATTTAAAATAGGTTTGGTCCAATCTCTGAGAACATTTCGCTTTTAGATCCAAAACGCTTTGATGGGGGATCTGGAAGTCTGGATTGGAAAAAGAAAGAAACTGAAATTGAACCAGTAATGATAACTGGTTATAACCACTGCCTGAGACAGGGGTTATAAACCAAGTAAAAGAATGCTAAAGAAACTGCTGAAAGCATCAGTCACTCCCAGAGGCTGGGTGCTTAGTGTATGCAGATGCTATTAACTTCACAAAATTCTATGTTGACAAATCAAACACAGACCTCACCAGGGCTCAGAGGGTTAATTGATTTGCAATTTAACTTCATTTATGCCAGTGTTGCATGTTTTCTCAGTCAGGTCTCTGCATTTTTGTTCTGTTTGAAGAAACGCAGAGACACTGTGTGATTTACTGTAGGTCTCCTTTATTTCTTCCTGTCTTTTTGCTGTAGATTAGGAAGTAGAAGGTTCATGTGGCTTGTTTTATATGGACTGTAGTCATACTTTAACCAATTTGGTTGCTATGTTGTTTCCTGGTCCTGGTACAACAACACTCAAAACTGTGAGTCTCAGTATAAATTAATATTGCTTGGAAAACATCAGAACCAGTGTCAGCCTTTCTGCATACATAGGGCTTTGTACCTGGTGACTACAGCACAAGGGAAAAAGAAGAGGCCTTGTAACTAAGGATATATTTTCTTGGCCAGAATGACCCAGCACAGGTGGTTGGTGAGATAAGAACTAACTGAAGAAATAGACAGAAGTTGGCCTAGATGTTGAATGGTGCATTAGAAGGCATGAGGCTTGCTACATGGCCTTTCCTCCTCATTCTCCCTGTCACATGGACCAGAGATGATTCTGGTCTTCATAAAAACTGGAAATGAAGGACTTACTGTAACATACTAGTGGGCCATATCCATCTGGGAACAAAAATCATAAGCATGCCATGTAAGGCAAGGCAAAGACAAGAAAGACAAAGGAAGTGACATGTATGTTTTCTAAAAAAAAAAAAGAACATGAGAGGTGCTAAGCAGAAACTGTCATAAGAACATCACGGGTCTGGAGAGCAGCATATGTCCATCCCAAACACCTGAACAGAAATGGAGCTCAGGCTACAACAGGAACACCCCACACTAGCTAGTGACTCAGCTCCCCTTGTGCTGAAACCTCAATGCTAAACGTTCCTTGAAATGATCCAGGTGAGGTCTGGCAGACATTGCTTCATGGATGCTTGATTTGGTTCACATGTGCTACCATGCAGGACTGTGCAGTCAATCCAGTGAGGACCCCAGAGGCTGAGTGCAGGAGTACAGGTACAAGTACATAGATGAGTAATGGGAAAGAAAGGGCAAGTTTCATGCTGAGGGATTCTGTGCACAGCACAGAAAGGAAGGGGGCAGTAAATTAGATAAGAAGAGGCGTGAGAGAAACTGGCTTCCAAAATAGCAAAAAGAGAGAAGTGATGCATGCATGAGTCAGAATGGAGTAAAGTCTCAAACCTGCACTGGAGCTGCCTTCACTTCTATTCTTCTTTTCTCCTTTTTTACATTACCCCATTGCTTGTCATATCCTCCTTTGTCTGTCTCACCCACTCCTTTTCACCTCTTATTGTCCTGTTAAGCTTACCTGCTGCCTCCCTCATTTGTCCTATTTTGCATGATTTTCTTAGTAGCTAGTGAAAAGAAACACCGTTAGAAATGTGCTAATATTGTCACTGCTGCTGCCATCTCATTGTGAATTAGATATGGCAAGCAAACAAGGCCATCAGACTGTTCTGAGTGCCTTATCTTTCTTGCTGGTTCTTTGCCTTTTTGTTTCTCTGCAATCTTTAGCATACCTGGGGGAAATTCTTTGACCTGTTATGCAGGAGGTCAGACTATACAATCTAATGGCCCTTTCACACCTTACAGTTAGTTTGAAATCTTCCATTTTAATTTTGTGTTCCTCTGTCTTTCTCCTGTTCACTATGTCTTCCCCTTTTTCCTGTTTTTTCTTTCCTCCAGTTCTTGTCATCCCTTTCTTCTAGCCCACTAGCAGTCATCCTGTAGGTCATAAGACTACTGCTGTCCTTTTGGGATAGGTGAGGATCATGGTGTGCCTGGGATTCCACAGTTGGATATAAGCCCAGAATCACTGTAGCAGAGAGAAAGGTCAAGGATATAACACCTGGCTGGCAGCAGGTATTACACCTTCTGGATGTTCCATTGGGTAAATGTCTCTTGCTGGCTTGGCTTCGAAAATGATGATCTCTTGTGTGTTACCTGATGATGTCATCTTTTTTGCACAATAGATAAAAGCAAAGCACCAGAGCTAGGGCCCTGAATGGGTCTTCCCCTCATTATCAAGCCTTCCTATAATAACTCACATTAATATTTTTTTCTTAAAAGTATACCCTGCACACCAAATGTTACCCATTGCCCTTAAGGAAAGAGTAGAGGCAACTGTGACAGAAAATAAAGGAAATGGCCTGATGCATTTGTCTGTTAGCTGAAGACAATTCAGCATTGCCAGGACTCTGACACGCTTTGGATAGCCTTTCTTCCCAACCATCTTGACATGCAACATGACTTGTGTAGCCACAGCAAATGACTGTTAGTCTAATAAGGCCTGTTGTTCAAAGCTTGCTTTGCCTGGCATAGTCTGATATCACTGCAGACTCCTGCCACCAGTCTGACTGTCTCTGTTTTATGAAACCAGATTAACTTTACTGGAAACAAACAACCACATGGTGTGAATGAGAAGTTGTTGAGCTGTGGGAAATGCATCTGAAATGAAAATGGGGAGTCTGGAGATCTTGTAATTTTGCTAAAAAAAAACCCCAAACTAAAATTGTTAACACCACAGCCATGTGCTTCTTTTTAAACAGGATTCTGGACATACATATTAGAAGGAATTACATAGCTGTAATATATTCCCAATTAGATATTCATGATTATGTGCCTTTGGATAAAACTGTCAGTCTGAACATCAATCCATCTAATAAAACCTAGTATTTTCCAAACTCACTCCAGGGATATATTTGCTTTATTTATTTTTCTGCAGATTGCTGGAGCTCCAGGCTCTGGGACATTTGTAAATGTCTTACGAGAGCAGAAGTAGGCCCCAAGAGGGAGAGCTGTGCTTCCAGTAATTTCTGTCAGAGAGAAAGGGAAAGAGATCCCAGAGGTCATGCCTTTAACTGCCAGTGTAGATGAAATGCTGCCTTAAGATGTGATTGCCATCCATTTTCCTCCTGCTAGCAGAAAGCCTCATGGCTTAGCAGCATGCTGCAAACAGACTAGGCTTACCTGGAAGGGGGAGATGGTGAAGGAAAGGGGAGAATCCCATGACACCCAATTCAATGGCTCTCAGCCTTTCCAATACCATGTCCTCATGTTACAGGAGAAAAGTATTTTGCGATTCCTTCCCATAAGACCACAAAGAAAGGGAGACTCTCTTAGGCTTCCCCCACACTGAAAACACATGGCTTGGTGGATGGGCTTGGCATTAGATGTAAGTTGGTCCCCCAAACTTGGCATCTGCTTGTTGTTTCACACAACTGCAGGGTTGGGATGGCCTCACCAAGCATCTCTCATCATAGTTTAACTCAGTCTGGAAAGGGCCTTAGGGCACAGAGCCTGAGTCACCCCCTTGCTCTCTCTCATAGAGGGATTTGCTGCTAGGTCTCACTTCTCCTTCAGCTCCTCACAGGTACTGCTCAGTTACAGTCCCAGGAATTATGAAGAGGGGATTATTAGGGTCAAATTTAACCCACACTTCTTTTGCTAAGGTTTGCTGTGGACTCTGCTGTGAGCTGTAGGATTTGCCTATGCTGCTACCTAGCCTGTTTCCAGGACTACCCTCTAGTTCTAACTCCTTTGCTCACCTTTGGCAGCAGTCCAACATATCCCCAAAAGCTCTCCTAAGCATCACACCCCAAGGTCAAACATTCCCTTAGCCTTCCCCTCTGCTTTCACAACTCACCTGGGAGCTGGAGAGCCTAGGACAAGAAGTCGAGCAGCACCTTCTGGCCCCTCTGTTCTCTACTGCCTGTCTCTACTGCTCATAATTAGAGCCAAGCACAAGAAGAAACCAGCCATAGACATACCAATTCCTAGAAGAGCTTGAGCAATTTAACATAGGTGGGGACAGGCAGTGTATGGGGCTCAGGTGAGTCAAGGGTGACCCTTGAAATCTCCAGAGAAAGTGATATGGTTGTCAATGAAAACAGCTCAGTGAAAGATGCATAATGAATGGGGTGGAGAATAAAGAGAATATTAAAATGCCTTTAATCAGTGGGCCTGACCCATACATCCCATCTCAAAAAATGGATGGCTAAACTAGAGTTGTTCAGAGAAGGGTGATGAGAATGAGGCCTTGGAAAAATTCTCATGATGAGAGATTTTAATGATGGAGACTGTTACCTGAGAAAGAAGACAGCAAAGAGGGGACAAAGAAGAAAAGTATTTAAAGTTATAAATACTCTAGAGAAGTTAAACCAGGAGCTTCTGTTCTCCCTGTTGCTGAACACAAGAACAAAGTGATATTCGGTGGAAATAAAAGGCAGAGGTTTGAATAAAAAAGTGCTCTCTCACACAGTATGTGATTAAACTGTAGATCCGTTTGAGACCAAACACTGAACAAGATTCCAAAGGGGATTGGACATTTACAGCTAATTTGGGTCAGGCAGTAATCCTTGTATTTCAGGGATTAAATCAGTCTCCAGTCGTTACAGACCAGGATGCAAGCTAATGAAGACAGAACATCCTGCATCTGCCTGCTGCTGGGATTTTACTGGACTAGATGGGTGCCCAGTCTCATCCAGTCCAGTCATTCCTGCATTTTCTGCCAGCAGAGATGGGATTTCTTCTCACCTACTGAAATGTTACATTGACACTATTGGATTTCATCTGACCTTGCCATGTAAATGAAAGGAGGAGCAGACCCTTACTGCACCTGCAGATGTAGGTGACATCAGGACAGGAAGGCAGCTTCTAAGTTCATCTGTGCCTAGAGTCAGGGCACTAGTCCACCAGAGAGTTATTTGTTGTGGGGTAAGTGGGGAGAGAAAGATGGAATCTCACATTTCCAGTCCCATTCCCATCACAGAAAAGCACAATAAGTAGCAGGTGCCTCCACCCCACTTGGACATCACCTACTTGCAGGTTTCATAGTTGTTAGGGTCAGAAGGGACCTCAATAGATCATCAAGTCTGACCCCCTGCCCTGGGCAGAAAAGAATGCTGGGGTCCTATGACCCCAGCCAGGTGCTTGGCCAGTCTCCTCTTAAAGACCCCCAAGGTAGGGGAGAACACCACCTCCCTTGGAAGCCCATTCCAGATTCTGCTAACCCTTACCGTAAAGAAGTTCTTCCTGATGTCCAACCTAAATCTGCTCTCTGTCAGGCTGTGGCTGTTGTTCCTGGTTATTCCAAGGGGTGCCCTGGTAAACAGAGCATCTCCTATTTCTTGCCGCACCCCCCCCCAATGAATTTGTAAATGGCCAAAAGAGCCCCTCTCAGCCTTCTCTTGCGGAGGCTGAAGAGATCCAGGTCCCTCAGTCTCTCCTCATATGGCCTTACCCGCAGGCCCCTAATCATACAAGTGGCCCTCCTCTGAACCCTCTCAAGGTTATCCACATCCCTCTTGAAGTGCGGTGCCCAAAACTGGATGCAGTACTCCAACTGTGGCCTAACCAATTCCATATGGAGGAGAAGTATCACCTCCCTGGACCTGTTCATGATGCACCTGCTAATGCATGATAGAGTGCAGTTAGCTTTACTGATTACTTCATCACATTGATGGCTCATATTCATCTTGGAGTCAACTATGACTCCGAGATTCTTTTCTGCTGCTGTGCTGCTGAAAAGGCCATCCCCTGGCCTAGAGATGTGCTGGTGATTCCTTCTCCCTAGATGTAGCACTTTGCACTTGTCTTTGTTGAACTGCATCCTATTCTTTACAGCTGACTTTTCCAACCTGTCCAGGTCTGCCTGGATTCAATTCCTTCCCACTAGTATGTTTACTTTACCCCATAATTTTGTTTCATCCGCGAATTTGGACAGAGTGCTCTCCACGCCCTCATCCAAGTCACTGATGAAAACATTGAGTAGCACAGGTCCAAGGGCTGAGCCTCGCAGGACTTCAGTGCCCACATCTTTCCAGGCTGATACTGACCCATCCACCACCATTCTCTGGGTGCAACCCTTAAGCCAATTTGCCACCCACCTAACCATGTAATCATCTGTCACAGCTACTCAGTTTGTTTATGAGAATAGGATGAGATACTGTATTGAAGGCCTTCATAAAATCCAAGTAGATGACATCTACCTCAACGCCTGCATCTAAGCATTTTGTGACCTGGTCATAAAAGGTAACAAAGTTAGTCAGGCAGGATCTACCTGCTATGAACCCGTGCTGGTTGCCCTTCAGCATTATTTTTCCTGCTGGGCTCCCACAAATGTAATCCTTGATAATTTTTTCAACCGTTTTCCTTAGGATAGAGGTGAGACTAACTGGCCTATAATTACCTGGATCCTCCTTCCTCCACTTCTTGAAAATAGGGACCACACTGGCCCTTTTCCAGTCCTCTGGGACCTGACTTGAACACCAAGAGTGCTCAGACAGCTGTGCCAGTGCCTCTGGCCAATTCCTTCAGCACCCTTGGATGAAGATCATCTGGGCCTGCTGATTTAAACACATTCAGCCCCTCCAAGTGTCCCTTTACTAGGTCAGTGCTGACCGTTAGTGGGCTGGTGTTCCTCCTGTGCCTATCTATAATGCAATTGGGAGATTTGTCTTGATCCATGTTCAGAAATACACAGGGAAAAAATTCATTGAAGAGTTCAGCCTTGTCCTTCCTATCTGTCACCAATTGCCCTAGCCTGTCCTGTAGGTGTCCTATGTTACTCTGCACCTTCTTTTTGCTCCCTGAAGAAAGACATTTTTTGTTGTCTTTAATTTTTGTCACCAGCCTGAGATCCATTGCTGCTTTGGCCTTCTTAACTGACTCCCTGCAAGCGCAAGCCAAGGAGGTATACTCCTTGGTAGCTACCCTCTGCTTCTACAGCCTTTATGCCTCTTTCTTTGCCCCTAGGCTTTCTTGGATTTCCCTGTTCAGCCAAGAGGGTTTCGTGGCCCCTGTGCCCCCTTTTGTGCACAATGGGATTGTCTCCTTCTGCACCCAAAGGATTGCTCCCTTGAGGAACAACCACCCTTCCTGGACTCCCATCTTGCCAATGCTCTTGATTTTCAATGCCTCACTAACTAATCTCCTGAGCACATTGAAGTTAGCTTTTCTGAAGTCTAGTACTTCTGCTCTGCTCGTTACTTTTCCCACCCTACACTGGATAGTGAATTCAATCAATTGATGGTCACTATCCCCTAGGTTACCTTGCACC